CGTTCACACAGCAGATCACATAAAAGTCGCATTTAACAGGAAATGTGAACGAACTCGCAAAAAAATCAGATTTCACAAAAAAATCTGAATTGAGCATCAAGTCCTGCAGTGTGAACGTAGCCAATCTGGCGGATTGTTAAGTCAGATAATACGCCGTTATCTTTATTTATGACATAAAATGTCATGTCAGAGTCGGAATCCAAGGCTGTCGGTATGTTGAGGTTATGTATGTTTATGGGTTCCGTTAGATAGCGAGGTTTTAAGATTATTTAACGGTCTGGATGTCAAGTCACGACTGAATTTCGTCAACATCACTTCATTCTTCATGGCTCATTCGTTGCCACTGCCTGGATTCTGTAAAAATACTAAAATTCTGCACTTTCTGGTGCAACCATGAAGCCATCAGTGACTTAGCTGTGACCAACAGACATCTGACAAAAACTCTGTGACTTTTCGTCAGAGCTGGGATGAACTGCAGGCTGTGTTTACCCAGAGCAGAGAGACGAGTATAGAGAAGAAGATTTTAGTAGTAAAATATCTAGAGAATGTAGAGTCAACATTTTGTTTTTGCAGTATTGGTAACGCCTGTGGACACTTCAAAAAATGTTTTTCAGGTTTTTGCAAAATAAATAATAAAAGAAATTGAACTTTTGTTTTCTAACTTTTTATGATTTATGCCATTATAACTTTGTTATAGTGCAGAAAAAGGCATTTGTGAGCTCTCTCTACTTCTAGCTGTGGTTGTGTTGTTTCTAAAGAGGAGCAGGATTTTATATTACTGTGAAAAATGAGCCCACAGTGAGTAAAAATGTGACAAGAGCGGGAAAAAAAATGCCCAGAAACTGCGTGGCGTTCAGAGGGCTACACAATATGAAGTAAAAACACAGCAGTGGAGAAGAATGAAGGATGACTTAGGTGAGGAGAAAAAGGAGAAAGACTGTGTTTGTAAAGAACAGTCCGGACGTTTGGGAGCAGAGGACGGCTGCTCTGGCTGTTTTCTCTGCCCCTAACAAACAAGAATTTCAGCTTGAGGCTATCAAACAGAGGATCCCTGTACATGCTGTTGTTGTGCTGCTGCTGAGGTTTTTATATGTGCGTATGTTTTGTGTGTTGGGATGTGCATCGAGGATTCAGCAGCCATCCAGTGAAAACTGGTTAAAGAAATCGATTTCGGGATAAGGAGGAGACAACTAGCAGCGGCCAATAGAGAGGGAGCTAATGACACAATCAACACCTGCAGCCCTCGCTTGAGCCTTTTCTTTATCCTTCCACCCATAACAACAGATGTGGATGAGTGACCCCCACCCCCAACATCCCTCCCCTTCCCCCCTCTTCGCAGCCATTCTTGAAGCCCCACCACCCACCAACGCCGTCCTACAGGAAACAGCCACAGTGGCAGAGACAAGGGGGAAGAAAGCCCCAGCGAGGTGCTGAGGAGGATGGGGGGGGAGGACGGCGGGGGGGCTGGGGGCTGAGGTGGCGGTCGGATCGGGGTCTTAGATTTGGCTGTTTAACACAAAAGGAGCTGGAATGCAAAGAGTTAATCCGTTCGGGGGTCTCTCTTCCGCAAACAAAGGGACAGGCCTCCAGACAAAGGTTGAGGGAGGGGGAGCGAAGGGTGAGGGATGAGGGAGGTTGGTGGCTTTCCTACCATCTGGAGCTTTTGTTTTGGGGGAGGCTGGAGGTTGGAAAGAAGAGGGGGAGAGAGGTGACTCCGCCTCCCCGGTTCTCCTCCAGCAGCAGGACCCCCTCCACCACCCTCCACCACCCCAACCCCAGAGAGCATCCACGTGGCCCAGACAGACGCCCCTTCGCTGGGTCACGCTGCACCGTCGCCCTGCCCTGCCCGGCTCATCCTCACACACTCTGTCATCTCCCACACTGCAGGAATACATCAATACAGCGAGAACACACACACACACACACAGCGGGCCGGTCTCCCTCAGCACTCTTATTGGTTCAGGCAGAGGCGAGAGCAAACTTGCGCTGCACTGTATGTTTGTGTATGTCATTCTGTCAGTATTACTGGTAGCTGTCCAATTGAGAGCTGTCAGGTTGAGAGAAGCCAGGCTCTTTAAGGACCATTATGAACCGTGTCAACAGGCTGCACAATCACAACACACACTGGGGCCGGAGAGGATGAATGAACGGAGCCGCACGTCCGGGTTTATTACACAGGGCCGGGCCGGGGGGGCTTTGGGGATGAGCAAGGATAGCATGAATGACAAACAAAGCGGCCCCTGTCAAACCTCTTATCCCCTCTCATTGCCTCTCGTGCTGCCTTGCCGAGGATTCGGCCTCTCAACCTGCCTGCCTGGCTCTTTGTCTGCACCTTTTTTTTTAGCCTTAAAGTTCTAACAGTCAGAAATCCTGCATTTACAAGTTCTCGTTCAATCTTTTTCAGACAAAACAGCGTCAGGCCATAAGTCCGCTGACCCGAGCAGGCAGAAAACACTGTCCTCTATTTATCCAGCATTAAGAGATCTGACAGATTTGTTTAAAGAAGCTGGAGGAAAAGATGGACGGCCCACGTCAGAGCCTTGTTCCATTAACCGGAGCATCAGGTTAAACAAAGTCTGAGAGCTGAAGGAGAGAGGTGAGGCAAAAATACGAGTTAGTTATCGTAGCTCGGCCCGCCGATGCGTCCTCATCAACACGGTCGTGGAGGCGGTTAAGCTACCGTTAAACCCCGACGCCGCAATCTGCATCAAAAATCGCACATAAAAGACATATTTTTAGCTTCACTGTAGCTCACCCTTCCCGAGGAGATCATTACTGCTGATGTTCATTGCAAATAAACAACCATAAATCCACTTAGAAACCACAGAGCAGGATTTATGCTCCGTCCAAACTGCCCGTCAGACGGTCATACAGCGTCTGAAAACCCACTTCCCTCCACACTTTCCTGATAGATTGTGTCCGTGTCGATCAGTCTGGAAGTTTCTGAAAGCCACTTTAGGCCACGATCGGCCGGCAGTGTGGTGAGAAGAGAAGAGGAGCCCGATGTTGTACTCCTCCGTCCAGCTCTCGTTAGTCACTTCATTTGTTACTCAGCTATTTGTGGCACTTTCTCACGAGACTCGTATTGTAGCTGGCGTTTTAGGGCCGGTTGCACCTTGAAACCCGTCACTTCCAACAGATTACACTGTGTGACCACGGTTTAGCGTTCGCACACCATCAGCTAAACTTTGACCACGATGCACAGTGACGAACAACCACACGGCCGACAGAAACTGAGAAAAAGCTGATGTTCGTATCGAAATTCCTGCCTCGTGGCACAAGTTTGCTTTTGCAACCAGACCTCGAGAAGAAAGGCCGATCTACGAAACAGCTTTCCCTCCAAGTAGGCATGTCAGGTGCGTTTTAACCTCTTTATATACGGTCAATGGTTCTAGCAGTAAGGTAGCTTCTTGTAGGTCAGCAATATGTATAAACAGAGCTGAAGTTAACATGTTGCCTCTCAAAGGCTCTACACTGTAAAAAAAAAGTGCATTTGAGCTGCAGTTGAAGTACCTTTTTGAATAAATCTCATTTATCTTTCTGCTTTGGTGACGGCAGTTTGTACTTGTTGGTTCTATGAGCTTGAAATTACACTTTGTCCCTTAAAACTGGCGTCGTAGTTTTAGTGAAAGTGCAAAAATGAGGTCGACTTTTGCTTCAGCGCTATCCACCTTGCATCTAATTTTTCTGCTGCAATTCAATCGGTGTGTTCACAAGTAGGACGACAGAGTACAGGAAAGGAAATGTTTTATGTTTGGGAAAGCAAACATCCATCCATCCATTATCTATACACTACTTAATCCTCACGAGGGTCATGGGGGGCTGGAGTCTATCCCAGCTGACTCAGGGCGAAGGCAGGGGACACCCTGGACAGGTCACCAGTCTATCACAGGGCTACACTTTGAGACAGACAACCAAGCACACTCACATTCACACCTACGGACAATTTAGAATCACCAATTAGTGGGGAAGAAACCGGAGAACCCGGAGAGAACCCACGCTGCACGAGGAGAACATGCAAACTCCACACAGAAAGATCCCGGGTGTTCTCACCGGGACACGAACCGGCAACCTTCTTGCTGCGAGGCAACAGTGCTAACCACTGCTCCATCTTGCAGCCCCGAAAGCAAATAGGTAAGTTGGAAATTAAAAATTAAGTTGCAGCTCATTTGAGAGAAATTAAATGATTCAAGTGCATCTAACTTGTGACATTATTATAACCTCCTACCTTAATTCAGATAAACGTAATTAAATTATGTGTTATCAATTGATGCAATTTATTTAAGTTGTCTTTTTCTGTGTACAGGTCGAATAAAGTTTTTTTAATCGAGGTAATGAAATAAAGAGGTATAATTATTTTACATAGAATTTTACATTAACTTCACATTGACTCATTGATGCAGTCCTGCTAGAAGTTAGTCCACCTACAATTGTGGAGGTTTGAAATGATAATAAACAGATAAACGTGGTCGGGCGGTGTCTTAATAGGTAGTTCTGAAGCTTCAAAATTCAGTTATTAAGTTTTCTTCATAATCACAACAATGCAGTGAGTTATCCCTACATCCACACTGTACAAAAGGAACTGCTCCAAGTTGATTTGGTGTCTTTTAATGGTGCTAAAACGTGAAATTGGAGTTGGTTAGGTGGTGAGGAAGGCCTCAGCCGCCACACGGTGATAGAAAATCCGACTTTGACTTTGATTGGACAGTTCGCACTTCAGCGAGAGGCCAGTTTAAATAAGAGACGGAGGGGAAGTTAGCTCACTTGTCAATCAGAGAGACTCGAGGAGTAGAGCATTTAAACATATGTGAGATGATGCACTTAGCATTCCCTGCAATTACTGTCCCTCTCCACCCCTGCACATTCGCTCATTCCATTAAGAGTGCTTCCACCGTATAAATGTGAGCTGTTGAGGAAAAAGGGGAAAAAAAACAAAAACGTGTGTGTGTGTGGTCAAGCAAGAAAGAGAAAAAAAAAAGAGCAGATCAACGTATACGTACCACCACCATGAGTGTAAAAATCCTGGAGGTTCCCCAAGTGTGATGTTCTTCTCCCATCGGATCTGCGAGGAAGAAGCGGTGGAGGAGGAGGGTTGGTGGGGAGAAGACAGAGGAGGGGAAAATGAAAAATTAGACACCGCAGCATGTTTTATGCATAATGTAATCATTTTGCTCAACTGTCCTCTCAACTTTGGACTGACGGAGCGATAGTCGGACAGAAAAATAGGCCGAGGAGGAGCGCGGCGATCTGCAGTGCAGTGCAGTGCCGAGTTTTGTGGATAAGAAACTGTGACTGTCTTGAAGCAGCAGTCCTCTCCGCTGCCCTCACAAACCAGCAGAGCTCCTGCCTGTATCTGGACACCGAGATAAGATCCAGTCGGCGATAACGGACCAACTGCCTGCTTCACACACTCCTACTGACATGACTCCACACACATAGACGCACACACAGATTTCAGGGGGAGGGAGGAGGAGGGAGAATATATACAGTCTGAGAGATGATTCAACAGAGTCTGAGAGCCTGACAGCATCAAGATTTCTCAGTTGTTGTTGTTGTTTTTTTTTTTTTCTCTCCCTATACGCGCTGTATATAGAAGAAACAGATACAAGGTTTCTATTAAAGTGTCTACTCTACAGATTTCCCCAGTGCCGCTTATAATGATGTGATGTGCCGTATGTTGGTGTGGGCCTGTTGATTTAATGCTGCTAAAGAGCTGAGTGCTGCACTGTGCAGAAGAGCATAGAGTGGCAAAGTCCTCTCGGGGACAGAAGCGTATTGTTTGTATACTATAAACGTGAGCGAGAGAGTGTGTGTGTGTGTGTGTGTGTGTGTGTGTGTGGGGCTCTCGCTCAAGGAGGAACAGAGGCTAATTGAGGCAGGAGAGTCCAGGTGATAGCGCTCTCATTAGATGAGCAGGTGTGTATGTGGGCCTTCAGTCTACCTGCGAGGATAGGAGTCCCTTATCTATTGAAACATGCATGTGTGTTTTTCACTGCATGTGAGATACGGAGGCTAAGAAATCCGGAAAACCAAAACATATTCATCTTTTAAACAGCATATACACTGTTTTTTTTTTAAAGGAAAAACACTGCAAACATCTATAAAACACTCACAAGCTGACTGCGACGCACTCACCGATTTGCTATCACATAAAGAAAACTCAGCGCAGATGCAGGAAAACAGAATGCAGCGTGTCTTACAAAACAATGGGTTTAAGTTACTCGTCAGCGGTGTTGTAAAATGGAGTTTAACCCTCTGAACCCCAAGCAGTTACTGGGAAGATCTCATTTTTACCAACTGTGGCCTCATTTTTTTACCACAATATAAAGTCCTGCACCGCTATGGAAACAGCACAAACATGGAAGAAGGAGAGAAACTTCAAAAATGTCATATGTGTACTGTGACACAGTTATAATGCCATAAATCTTTTTCTTTTATTAATAATTTTATTGGTGACTTATTTTACAAGAATTGAAAAAAACTGGAATCAACATGTACAATGTTTCTCCAAATGCCCACATGTGTTACCAATACCAGGAACAGAATTAGGGGGACGACATGTGATAAACATTTTACTACTTACATTTTATTTTGTTCCCATATTTGTCTCCTATCCTAATCACAACCTGCAGTTCAACCAAGTTCAGCAGAAAAGTCCCTGATTTTGTTGTCAGGTGAGTGTTGGTTAAATCAGTCATGACTTCATGGTCACACTTAGGAATGCAGAACTTTTTAGTTTTTACAGAATCTGGTTTATGCAAACGGTACTTTTTTGGCAAATTTCCAAATGATTTTAACAAAATATTTCAGCTCTGATGTCTTGAGTGATTCAATTTAACAAATAAGTTTCAGACAAGGACATCAAGGACTGTTGAGAAGTGGAAAATCAGAGGATTATTTATGTTTTTACAGTTTCTGGCTTGAAGAAATGTTGTAATATTGATGATTATTGAAAAAGGTAACGCGTCTTTCAAACCTGCCGGCAAGCTTTGGGGTTTAGAGAGTTAAAGTAATGTTCAATAACGCTATTGATGAATGTAGACATAGAATACGTTCACTATACTCTTTTTGATTTGATTTTTATTTACTAAAGTGTTCAAAGTTTACAGTGTCTATTCGAAATGTCTTTCAAAACTATACTTGCCTGTTTTTTATGTTTCTACCATGGCTCTTCACGCCTCTTTTAACACTTGCCTTTACTTTATGAACATATTTTTGGCATTTTTCTTTTAAGGAAATACATACGCACTGTTGAAGTGCTTGTTTGGCGCACAGCGTTTGTGTTTTTAACGGGATGAAGTGCTCTGAACTCTCTCGCCCACTGCAGCGAGGTTAAAGGAGCAGGTTCAGAAGCAGGACGTTGAGAGGAACCAAAGAAAAAAAAGGAGGATGATCAAAGTGCAAAAGAAAGAAACATGTAAAAAAAAAAATAACTCAAAGCATCAAAGCAAGGAGATGCTAACATGGTAAGTGAACTTGTGCAACAAATCATTTGTTTGCAGCCTTCGGATGCTGCATGAGAAACCCCTCAACACTTTAAAGCCTGCTGCTAAAACTACATGAAGAGGGGGGAAAAGGTGAAAGGTCAAGCTGCTGTGTTTGCTCAGATACATCCATTACTGTCAGTCTGAAGCAAAATGCACTGACTATGACCATATAAGACAACCAAACAAAAACGAAGACGCGGTTGAAAAAAAAAACCCAAAATCATTAAGCGATGTACCGCTGCAGGAGCTACGTTCGAGACAACTGGCGTCAAACCGACTTAGCCAGCTTAGCATGTATGCCTCGTGGACATGTGGACTGTTTGTATGCGTCTGTGTGTATGTTGTTTTAATCCCCGTCTGTGTTGTTTTAATTCCGTTTAAAGTGTGTGTGAATCCATGTTTGTGAGCCTCCGGTTGCCTGCGACCCATAACTTCACCCCTTTCCAGCAGCTCCACCAATAACACTCAATCTCTGGGAGGAGATTCACCCACAAGGGCTCTGAAATCAGCGAGGCTCCGCTTGCAGCCCGACTACTTAATCTCTCCGTGCTGCTCCCTCCGTCTCTACTTCATATTTTAGACGCCCGCTTCTGGTTGTTGGCAGCTGGATCGGCCTCCAGCAGCAGCCTCGTCCACCCTGCTGCCTGCCTGCACACTATAAGCAAAGGCAACCAGACTCCAACCAGACTGGCTGATTACATCTGATTGAGACGTCCGAGTTACCAACAGGGCGATGTGGGGCAGGAATGTGCTCAGTTTTTTTTTTTTCTTTTTTCCCTTTAAAGAATCAAAACCATCTCAACACAACTGGAAAAGATCCAACTTTTTGAGGAATTAAAATGAGAGCGTTGGGATTTGATATTGATTGTGGCAGGTCTTTTACAGCTTACTTTGATGCCCAGACCAAGTCAGACTTTTGATTTGAGTTTTGCTTTTTTTTTTTTGGGAGATTGATTTTGTTGCTTATGTTGATTTTATTCTGTTTTGTAAAGTTGTGTTCCGACAACAAAAGCCGCACTAACTTAGTTACTCAAAAGGAACAGTTTGACATTTTGGGGAACACTTTTACTGCTTTCTTGCTGAGACATGAGGAAAATGACGCCACTCGTAAGCGTCTACGGTAAATATAAAGCTACAGTCTCTTTGATTAGGTTAGAATAAAGCCTGGAAACGCAGAAAGTCTTCAGTAAGGGTTGCCTGACAACCTCACAGTGACAACTAGAATTACTGCCTCGTGACTGAATGCCTCCTGCTAATTAGTCAATTAGCAGTTTACATCCATGTCTGTCCAGACTAATGTAATATATGTATGTGTGCGAGTTCATCGAGAGAAGCAAGCAACAGAGTCCGATCCCTTGTACGAGTTCACGTGCTAATAGATAACAGAGGTGTTGTCATGACAGCAGAAGATGCTTCAAATATGGATGTTTTGCTGCAAACAAGCTTAAACGCGTCTCTTAACCCGGAGGATCTTTACAACCACCAGTTTCAAGGTGGGCAGCCAAGATCAGCGCCACCAAAAACATGGTTAATGTGTTAATAACTGGCCAGAGAAAAATGTTTTTGCAGAATAATATGATGTCACAGCAAAACTGTCCTTCTGAATATAAAATGTCACAACTGTACCGTTTCTGTTTTTAGACATTCATGGTAAATTTTGTCTTATTTAACCAACAAATTTGTTTTTTGAGGTCACCTTTAACCACCAAACTCTAATCAGTTCATCGTTGAGTCCAGGTGAATGTTTTTACCAAATTTGAAGTAACGTTGTCAAAGCGTTCCTGAGATTTCACGATAACCTGAAAACACAATGCCTCTGGGAACAGCTGTAGGAGACGGAGACGCATAGTAAAACCCCAGCAGAGCGCAACAGGCAGCAAGTTTGACATATCCAGGCTTTCTTTGTGTTAGCTGGCTTGACAAAACCTCAAACCCCAGTCAGAGATAACGGGCATCATGTCAGCAGTTATCAAGTTCAGCTCAATTAGGTGGAACAGCTTGTTATAATGGAGAGCTATAAAAAATGTATTTATAATCATTACAGGAAAAAAAAGCACTGCTACCGTAAATGATGCAAGAGAGGAAAAGCTGATAGAAAGTTGTTAATTGCGCAGGTTAACACATTTAGTTTAGCACTTATTTGGGCCGTGACCACTGCACATTAGAGCTTTAAAAACTTTTAACTTCATACATGTAAACATGAAACAAGTGCTTTTAGTTCCAAAATGAAGCATTTTACTTCAGTTTTTGGCCAAATCCAAGTGAAATGAACATTACTGATGGGATTTTTTTTCTGTGATAAACAGCAATAGACTAATCAATTTTCTAATGTGTGTCCAGGATCAAACAACAAAAACACATTTACGCACTTTCTGCCTCAACTACTGAATGTGTACAGGTGGCAGCATACTTCTACTTTGTCCAGTAGCATTACCAACGTACAGCTCAACACTTGGAGATAGAACGCATTTCCTCATCTGATAATCTGTATCACTACACTTAGGAATAAAGAATACACTTAGGGAAATATTTCTAATGGCCGATTTAAATCCCAAATTCAAAGATGCCTCTTTTTAAACCTACCAGATCACCATAATGCAGCCAACATGCTCCAGAGCAGGTTAGAGATTTAAAAGCATCTCTATTTCACCAATTCTGTTTCCTGATGCTTCTCTATGAGGAAACACATCGTATCTGCAAACCTGTTGAGCCGTACGTTAGTAATCTGAGTAAACAAAGCCGTGCAGCTACATGATCGCAAACTGTGTGCGTCACACAACCTACATGCATTCAGCTGGTGATGCAAAATATGTTTTTCTACTAAGACCTGATTTGCTGCCAAGACTGTTTTGTACTGCTGGTATTGCAGCAAACAGAACACAGATTAGAAAACTGATTAGTCTATTGGACTTTATCACAGATCACATCCAATCCATAACGTTAATTTCACTCTGATTTGGCTAGCATCCTTCATTATGGGACACATTATTAAGACTAAATGCACTTCTTCAACACCGTGTTTCAATGAATGTCATTTAACATCTCTCATGCGCTGCTGTAAGTTAGAAACAAGCAGCTGCATTGAGTCATTGAGCGGTAAAATAAATATATTAACTTGCATGAATAACAGTTTTTGTACCAGCGTTTCTCTCTTGCGTCATTTACAGTGACTTTTTATGAATTTGTATATTGCTCATAGTTGCCCATTAAAACAACCTGTTGACTGAAGTACGCGGCGCACGATTGGCCCATTCTGAGCAAAAGTAGAGCCACATTACGCTTTAGATGCTCCCTTTTATGTCAGCGTGCAGAGAGTCTGAAGAAGAAAACATAAGCTGATCATTATTTCTAACTGGGGTTTTGTGTTTTTTTCTTTTTTTAAGGAAAGCCCGACTATGTCAAACCTGCTTCACCCTCTGCTGCATTGCTCGTCCAAACCGTCTAACTGGACTCTGGCTGCTGCTCGGTGTGCATTTCATGTGCTTCATCTGCGAGCTCGTGCGGGTGCAACAGTATCTCTGTGTGACTCTAGCCCGAGCTCACCTGATAAAATGACAGATAAATGATGTCAGTATTAAAGTTGAATGATACAGACACCGCCTTCGCTTGCCATTAAAAGGCCTCTCAGTGTTGGGGGGGAGTGTATTAAGTGGAGCTGAATAAAGCCGACGGGCAGGAGAGGTGTTCCAGTGAAGAAGGCCTGGACACGGGGGCCATTAGCAGGAAGGATGTCCATTAAGGAAGAGGATGCAACACATTAGAGAGAGACCCTACCTCTTGGACAGTTTCAGGGGCTTAATACGAGGCTATAAGTCTGGCGGATCTGGGACTGAACGGTTTAAAATACTAGAGGTACACTTGGTTTACCTCAACAGGCTCTCAAATGTCAGAACAGGAGAAACGACACGTGCTTACAATATGTCAAAGCGCTCTAATTATACAGCTGATTACAAATTAGAGCTAATAATGAAGGGCGGGTAATCACATTAAGTAGCCCAACCGATGCCATGTTTACATTGTCCCAAATTAACAAAAAAAAACACACTGCCAAAAAAAAAAAAAAAAGTCTCGTCTCATTAATGTATTAATATTTCCTCAACAACATTGGTCAACAGCTGCACTACAAGTTATAATGTGAATTCCATTCCTGCTCATACAATAGAAGGGGAATCACACTCACTCATTTTTAACAGGAAGTCAAACTGAAAGAACTTCTTACCTCTGACAGGAAGGTCTGTGCTGATTTCTGTGCGCCAACATGCAGCAAATACTCATACACATATAAAGCTAACCTGGAAAACAGAAACAAAGAGAGAGAGAGAGAGAAAACAGGAGTCAGTTGTGGGGATCACGTTCATTCAGTGCAACATTTGTGCTCACGACTGGCAGATGAGTCGTCCCCGTGTCACTGGAGATGGAGCTCGGATAAACAAGATTTTACAGTATGAAGATCATATAGTCTGCGAAGGGGTTGTAAATGTGTGATGTAAAGCTCGGCGGCTCTGAGCTAAAGAGCCTTGGTGGCACTCAGCCATATCCCTGTGGTTTTAGGATCTCTGCTGTTGAGACTGAAAACAAAACAGTGTAGACGCTGAGAGAAACATGGACGGAGGAGAGGAGGAACATCCTCCGACACGGAAAAAAGACGGACTCTCAGATACCACAGCGCTGCTCGTTGGGTTCCACGTGTTGATAACCATCTTGGCATCGGACAAGCGGTTGTAAAAATGACTAAATAATAAAGCGTAATGAATTTCAGACAATGAGAGATTAAAAAAAAAAAACAATCTCACAGAAACACAGCCATTAATTATCATCAGCTTTTCAATAACCTGTAACATAAAAGTTGAGTCCAACAGTCACATTATGGGAGCATTAGTGAGATCTGATGGGGGTCAAATATTAAAACAACAACACTGCTTTCAGTTACACACAGCGGAGGAAGTGTGCGTTGATTCTCCGAGGGTTTGGAGCTACACAAGCCTGTCACATTAAAAGGATGTGTTTTATTTGGTAGTAACTCTCTAAACTTTTTCTGAGCGTTTTTTTTTTTGTTCTCGTCACATTTTTACTCACTGTGGCCTCATATCTAACTGTAATATAAAGTCCTGCACCTCTATGGAAACAGCACAACCACGGCTAGAAGGAGACAGAACTCAAAAATGTCTTCTGTGCAGTCCGACACAGCAAAAATGTGAATAAAACACAAACCATTTAAAAGAAAAATTAAAGTGGCATTTCTGTGGTTATTCATTTTACAAAAATGGGGTGAAAAAAACAACCTGGAATCAACATTTACAACATTTTTCCAGGTGCCCACAGGTGTTATCACTATTGGGAAAAAATTGCAGCTCGACAAATTCTGATATTTTAGTGCTTTATCCTACATTTTCTAATGTTTCCATTCTTGCCTCCCATCTGCTCTGTGGAAACACAGCCTGCAGTTCAGCCTAGTTTAGCTGAAAAGTCCAGGAATTTTTACCTCATGATCGCTGGTCATAGCTGAGCAATAAATGGCTTTTTTGTTGCGGCAAGCAGAGCAGAATTTTTTGTTTTTTACAGAATTTTGTTAAACAGTTTCTTTTTGGCAAATTTTCTAAATGTAGAATAAAGTGATTTTAATAATTTAGCATGATTTTAGGCTTAGATTTGGTTCATTTACAGACAGAACTGCATGTCACAAATGTTCAATTTAAGGACTAGTTCAGAGTCTGGCAACTCTTTCTGATTTTACAGTTTCTGGCTCTGACAAATAGAGTATCTTTGGCAGTGTCTTTAAAAGTTAACAAATCTACAGGCAGGTTTTGGGGCTCAAATGGCAAAAATGTACAAAATTTAGTGTGTCCTCATGTTTACACTTTGTCCTTTAAGTGGCAAAACAGCACAGTCCTAATAATCACACAAGGTCCATCCATCCATTGGTTATAATCGCTTATCCTTTAGAAAGACTCAGGGAGAGGACTTTGGACGTTTTGAGGAAAAGAACGTGGAAACTACAGGAAAAAGGCTCCAGTCGACCTGCTGGTTCAAAGCCACAACCTTCTTGCTGTGAGCTGCAATCTCACAAGGTAATAATATAACTTGTAGTTGAAATGAGGAACATAGCAACTGTACTTTAGACTGGCAAGTTGAACAATTTAGTCATGGCGAGAAATCAAAAAAATACATTTAAAACAAACAACACTTTCCTATGAAAACATAAATAACTCCGATGAAAGAAACAAGTCATGCAAATTTTGACTGTGCAGATTCCCACCAGTCAAAATTGTGACCACTGATAAAAACACACATTTTCCTAACTTTCGCTGCAGAAAAAGGAATTCGGCTTTTGTGTGATGTGTTGATCCAAGAGCGAGTAAAAGTCTGGTTGCCTGGCAACAAGACGGCGGGACTCCATAAAGTCGTCGCTCCCCGCCAAGAAATAGTACGACTCATAACCCCATTAAAAACCACAAACGTGTCCTCTTTTCATTCCAGGTTTTGGTGAGATTAAACAAACACGATTTTACGTGTAAGTCTGAGAGCTACTGGTAGGCAAATTTCGCTGCCTTTGGACAGAGCCATGCTAGCATGTTTTTAGTTAAGCTAATCGGCAGCTGCATGGAGTTCAACTAAAAGAAGCAAGTGTGGCGTTAACCTTCTCATCTCACTCACAGCAAGAAAGCAAATAAGCATATTTCCCAGACGTCGAAATATTCCTTCAAACGCTTTGCAGACAGTTTACAAAAGACTGTGACTTATTATGAATCTGATCTATAAAATCAACCCGTCTCCATATCATTTTTTTTTTTTTTTCTGGAGACCAGATTGTTTCTCTCAAGAGCTGACTCATCCTTGTTACTTGTCATTGCCTTGTTAATGCTCATCGGAGAGAGAAAAGAAACCACTGCAGACTTCCGAAAAGTCGGCTGAAGGATCTCTCCGATGCGACTCGTTCGTAGTCGCGACAACATGATAGACTCAGATAAACATGGATTCCTCATTTTGACCATTTCGGGACAAAAGCAATCTTTACCCAAACGCACTGAAGCATATAAAATGTTTCTACTCCAATGCAGAGATCTGCAAGCGAGCATCTGTATGCAATCGAGTCGAAAAACGCAGGACGGGGGGAAAGCTGCTGTGCTTTTGTGTACGGTGGGCGACTGTTCTTATGCTGATCACATGCACCAAGGCCAGAGCAGACACAGAGTTCTGATGTTTGGGTTGATGCTGGATGATACTGAATGAATCAATAATGAGGCGGGCCAGAGTTGAACAACCTGATTCCCTATCTCCTCCAAGATATCGCTGAATTTCACTGCAATGTCTGGACAACCATCTGCCGAACGAAAAATCCTCCGTCACAGCTGGTCCGAACCAGTTTCGACTAGCACCAGACACCAGATACCATCACCTCCTATTCTTCTCCACTGTATCTACACTAATTTCAGATACCTGGTGTAAACACGCCGTTGGAATAAAGGCCGCGTTGTCCGTCAGAGCTGTGTAAGTATGTGGACGTGGCGATGGGAGTCGTGTCGCTACAGCCGACCGGATCACAGATTGTATGTAGAGAAAACAACCGAGTCACAGGTTGGAGCAAACTGCTTGTTGTAAATGTTTAATATTGATCTCAAATGCGGTCCTGGTATCTTCCAGTGAAAGTGATCAGTGTTGTGTTTAGGGACATGTCCATCACTTTAATTACGTGTTGTCTGAGAATTTGTGTAACAAAATGCCTCGTTGTTGCCGTTGTTTTGTTTTTGTTTTTTTCACTTGTGAGGTTGGACAACAGCATCATTGTGTCTTCAACTCTGCTTTATAATAATGAGACAATAAGGAAAATTGATACCTGACGTGTGGCTGGGCGATACAGCTGAAAAGTTTGTCACGATGTAATGTTTTAATTGGTTGATGTCAATAATTATTGGTCTTTTTTTTCTGAGGAAGGTGGTTTATTTTGAATTTCACGTAAGATTTAGTGTATTTATGTTCACATACCGATGACAAACACTCACAAATAAATACATTTGTCCACGTAAATAAGATAAACAAGGTTAAAGGAATCCATCCATTATCGATACACCACTTAATCCTCACTAGGGTCGTGGGGGGCTGGAGTCTATCCCAGCTGACTTAGGGTGAAGACAGGGGACACCCTGGACAGGTAACCAGTCTATCACAGGGCTACAGTTAGAGAAAGACAACCAAGCACACTCACATTCACACCGACAGACAATTTAGAATCACCAGTTAGCCTCAACATGTTTTTGGAACTTGTGGGAGGAAGCTGGAGAACCTGGAGAGAACGCACTCCACACAGAAAGATCCCGGGTGTCCTCACCGGGACGCGAACCGGCGACCTTCTTGATGCGAGGCAACGGTGCTAACCACTGAGCCACCTTGCAGCGTTAAAGGAATCCGTCTACCATAATACAAATTAAACAAAGAAAGCAAGTAAAACCCGGATCCGGATATAAACTTGCCATCAGCTGCTGAGTTCAGGTGATCTACAGTTATTGTTTTCTTCCCTATAGCAAACAACAACAACAACCTCTGATTAACCGATCACACTGGTATCAAGCAGTACAACACCAAAACAATTCCCCCAGTCACTTTTTTGAGGAAACACAAAAACCACCACCTTTACTTAGCCCCGCCCACAACATCTGTGATTGGTTTAAAGAAACACAAACAAGCCAGAGTGCTATAATTCCCTATAGCAGACAGACTGGTGCAGCCAAACCATTACGCTCTCCAGAAAATAGTTGCGAGGCTACCGGACGAAGACCCCACACCGGCCGCTGCATTTACCCCAACGTCAAGCCCTCGGAGTATCGCAGCTGGGAGTGTTTCGCTTATGTGGAGGTGGTAGAGGACACAGGGAGCTTTTACACCACGAAGCCCATTTCACAACAGCAACTACCGGCCACTGCCAGCCACAACCTTCACCAGAGAAAGTCTACGGGTGTGGGTGGACATGACAAGAGGCCCAGGCGGCCGCAGAGCAACCAAGGCTGAAGGAGCTCCTTTATCAGTTGGTACAATAATAATAATAATAACTCCATCTGTATAGCAGGCTGTGAAAGAAAAGTTACAAAGTGCCGTACAAGAAAACAAATGTTAATAAATCCAAATACGACTGCAAACATGCAGCATGAACAAGACGTAATAGTCAAGTCAAGACAACGTTAAAGTAACCTAATAAGACTAAACTTTGCACTTGAGACCCTGTAGTGTTTTATAAGGTGTGACTATGCCCACGTCATTCACATATTAGGGATTTCAACCAACAACAATTATATAGGAC